CAGCAGGTTTCCACAACAGATGAGCTGGAAGGAGCCTCAGTGCTGCTCCTGACTGCTCATAGGGCAAATTGAAAACTACGTTCGTTTCCTTTGGGGTGTGGTATCTCACGCTGTGTATTTCATAACAGGGAGCTGATTTTTTTTCCCTTATAGTGGGAAGAATTAGTGCTGAGCACTCCAGGAGATCTGGCCCCAAGTCTGTGAACAGCTCCTTTGACCCTGAGTGCATTGATGTCTTGACCTTTGGTATATTGACATCACCTGAAAAACTGTCTGCAAACAGAGATATAAACACACAAACCCCTACAGACATTGTTTCTATAGCAGAGTTGGTCAGAAAAATCTGTGCTAGCTCAGGAGTATTTTCTATATGCAAAAAATGCTAAATCCTTTCCCTGGTTTCCAGAACTTTGTTTCTCCTCACCAGAGAGATTTTGTTCCATTTGAGACTTTCATTTTTTCACGCTCACTGCTTTGTGATGGTGAGTGCTTTGTTTTTGACAGATGTGCAAGAGGAAATTGTTCCCTGGGAGCTTTCTGCCCAGCGTTATCCAGGCAGGCTCAGCCCCAGCTCTCCCTCCGGGGCAGGAGGGAGAGGATTTGCTTTACTTACCAAGAGGCATTACTACAAAAAATGGTAGCCAGCAGAGAACAAAGCAGCCCACAACTATTCCCAGGGTCTTGGCAGCTTTCTTTTCCCTGGAGAACTTGAGGAGACGCACTGAGAAGTGATGTTTGCTCTTGGGGTTGGACGTGGAGCCACTTGTTTCGGGAGCGTTTTTCCGATGGATCCGTAGGGTCACTTCTTCCGAGTCAGATTTCTCTGTCTTCATCCCAGAAGTCAGCCCTTTGTTTTCCCTTTTGGCCACCACGTACACCCTGCAGTACATCACCAAGATAATAGTCAGGGGGAGGTAGAAGGAGCCCAGAGCAGAGAACAGGACGTAGCCAGGCTCCTCGGTGATTTGGCAGATGGTCTCGTCTTCTGGTGCTGGTTCCTTCCAGCCAAAGAGAGGCCCAATGGAGATCACCAGAGACAGTGCCCAGACACAGAGCAGTGCCAGCAGTCCCCTCTTCTCTGTCACGATGCTGGGGTACCTCAGGGGGTAGCTCACCCCGATGTACCTGTCGATGGAGATGATACAGAGGCTCATGATGGAAGCAGTGCAGCAAAGCACGTCAACTGCTGCCCAAATGTTGCAGAAGATCCTCCCAAAGGCCCAGTAGCCCAAAATCTCCATAGTAGCCGAGAAGGGCAGGACAGTGGAAGTCAGGAGGAGGTCAGCTACAGCCAGGTTAATGATGTAATAGTGGGTCACGCTCTGGAGGTGTCTGTGACAGGCTACGGAGAGGATAACCAGAATGTTACCCAACACCCCAAAAATAATCAGCCCCCCTAGAATAACACCCAGCAAAATGGCCTTTGGGATGTTCACGGGCCCCACAGAGTGGGTGCAGTTGGAGCAGTCGGAGGAGTTTCCAGGGAGGAAAGCCATGGCCAGTGGCTGCTAACGTCCACGCGAGGCTCTGTACTTCTCCCCTTCCAGGCAGAAACCGTGATGAGATCAGCTCCTGGAAGGTCCTACAGGGAACCTTTTCCTGGATTTGCTGGGGAAAAGAGTTTTTAAGAATGTCTTAGAAGTGCAGCAGCAGGAACAAAGAGAAAGATCCAGAAACATATTAGGAAACTTACCTTTGTTCCGAAGTTTTCACCATTATAGCACAGTCAAGAGCCATCGTTTCTGAGGGAAATTTAGTTCCCCTTGCATTTTCTTGGCTTGCAGAAGAGAGGTTATGCAAAACTGAGAAATATTGGAGCTGCAGGTTAAAATCATTTCTGCCTTTTTGGGAAAGTTTCAATATTTAAGTAACATAAATATTCCAAATAGTCTCAAACTTAAGTTTCACCTGAGAGGAAATCACTGATGCTTTTAATTGCCTTGTGGCAGTCCTGATTCTGCCTTAAAATTGGCTTAGAATCCTGATGGGTGGAGATTGCTGCTGTGTGTGCTCAGCAGTTCCATTTGAGATACCTGTCAGCACCCGTCGTCAGGAGCTGCACTGTCAGTCAAACTTCTCTGTGCATGGAGCAGTTGGCAGTTGAGGTCCTGGGCTGGGATTAAAGTTCATTTACAGCAGCTTCTGGCTTTCTCTGAAGGGAGGAGTGAAGTTTGCCATGTACACAGTGCCTGCTCTTGTGCTCTGTGCAGATCATCACCCCCTGAAGAAGACAAAACCATGAACAATATGAGTCCCAGAAGCAACACTTGCTGCTATGGTTCCCATATAAGAATAGACCAGGAGGCTATTTTAGGGAGCCTTCCTCAGGCTGGCTCCAGCCACTGGAACCAACCTTTTCCAGCCCAGTATTGTTTAGTAGCGACTAAAAGATCAATGTTAATTTTCTGGCCTGATTTTCCCTCCTTTATAGGCATAGCCATCAATCCTAATTATCAGCTCACCCACAGAGAGCAGTTCTAGGAAAGATAGAAACCTGCAGGACACAATTCAGGACTATACAAACTGTGAAGAAAATTTAGAAGTCCAGAATTTAGTCTCAGATTTTTTTTATTAAGCAGCTCCTTTACCCACTGAACTTGTCAGTCCAGCTGAGCCACCCAGTTTGGAGATCTATAGGGAAATCTCTTGCCAAGCAGAAGATACTGCAAGGAACAAGTTTCCTAGTGAGTGACACAACATTTGGGAGATGTGGAAGCCAAGCTCAGCCTTAGCTGACTAAATATGGAGAAAAGGTACATCAGATGGAAAAGTGAGGATAAGCCTGGGAATGGAGACACAGCGAGTGGGGGGAGAGAGCTCCAAGTGTGAGCTGCAAAGCCTTTCACAGTACCTGGACGTGGGTATAGGATTCCCACCCAAAGTATTAATCAGACATGAAAAACCACCACCAAGGCTATCCCTGTTGGGATGGGGGAAGACTCTCTAAGTGTCCTAATAGAGGATCTTTCGGATGAGTCCCTCAGCTCACACTTTATGCAAACACTGAGCAGCAGCAACTGTCACACAGCAGAACCTCAAAGCAGAACTTTTCCTGCAGGCAAAAGCATTTAAAACTATGAAGCCTCCAAATTCCCAGTCCACATGCAGGGAGGATGGGGGAGGTGGGAATTTGCCTTTAGTGCAGTGAAATGAAACTGGATCTTTTATTTTCTTTCCTGTGAGAAGGAACAAGTTGAAGAATAATTCCAAGGAAGAAAAGGACAGATTTTACTAAGCACATCAAGGAGAACTGCCTGTAGCATCAAGCACCTCTAAGCATCCTAACTGCAATCATTATAGAGTTGACAGTGGGCTAGAAAATTAAGAAATTATCAGCTTGATTTTTAAGCACATGAAGAAAAACTTCCCAGTAAGTCAAGGAGATGCAGCAGAGAGGACTAAGAGAGGTTTCCCTGCTCAAAGCCAAATAACTCTCAGCCTGTGGAGAGAGGTGATGCAGGGAAGAGCAGCCCCCCAGCTCCTGTGCCTGCCCCACACTCACCTGTGTAGTCTTTAGAAGGCAGCACAGCTCCTCTGGGGCTCTCAGCACAGCAGGCTCCTCTCTCCATGCAGGGATGGGACTCTGTGCCTGGAAATCCACTGCTGCTCTCCCTGTCTGTCCCCACCAGTGCTGTGGCAGCTCATTCCCCGTTGCTGGGGCTTGGCTCCAGCCTGCCAGCAGGTCCCCCCGCTGCAGGCTCAGCCTCTCCCTGGCAGGAGCAGCAGGAACTTTGCTGCTCTGAGATGCAGCAGCTCTGGATTCACCACTCCCGTAATTCCCTCAGCCCGTATTGCTCGGAAAGGAAGAGCACTCCAATCTCAGAACAGTTTGGGCTTTAAACCTGGGGATTTTTCCCCCAGTTCTTGCAGAGTCCAGACAGCAGAATCCAACTGACAAGCTCCTGTTTGTAGGCTAACAAGTAACTCTTGAAATATCAAAAGGGAATTGTCTTCCAGTGGAGGAAATAGCAAGGAGAGGCAGCCAGACCTGCAATGTGGGACTAAGTACAGCTAACTAGAGGTGGAGGTTAAGTATGGAAACCCTCAGCAGAATGTGCTGTCGAGGTGAGGTTGATTTTGTACATGGCTCTTTCAACTGCATTTTTTTATAAGAAAAAAAAGTGGCCCAAGTTCCTGATGATGAGCATAAAAATGATGCTCTGAAGTGGAGGAGAATAAAACACAGAGTGGGATTTCCCAGCCAAGGGAAAGCAAACCTTATAGCCACAGGGAAGCAGATGAACCTTGTGCCTGTTCTTGCATGACACATTGTTATGCAAGGGCAAAACATGTGAGCGTGCACATCTGCTCAGCTCTTTCTAAGCTAAAATAGTTAAAATCAGAGCCTTAAATCCTGGCTCTTTGGGCAGCATTGTGTTTTCATTACAGGTATGGCATCAAAAGACCAATTGCTTGTGTGCCTGATGCCAATTAATAACGTGTCATTGTTCATCTGCTCAGCTCAGTGCCAGACCATGCTGTGGCACCAGGAGTGGAGGAACTTGGAGGTGCTCTAGGCCTTGAAATGATTAGTTATTTACTTTTCAGAGAGAAGTGAAAAGTATTGCTTTGATAAATCATCCCTTGGAGTTTAGCTTCTGCTTGAGTAAGGAAGAAAACCCACCCAAGGGCAAGAGAGACTAAGTGTTGTCTATTAAACTTGAAGCTGGACTCATTCCACTGTCTTTTGAGGCTGAGACAGCCTGAAGCTTAAAGCACAGCTGACTTGAAGATAAAGCACAAAATTCTGAGTATTTAAAAAGGGAAAAAAAACCCAACCCAGCAGAGCTGCTGTTGGGCTGCAGCTGCTCATACACTGAAGACAATTAATTGAGACCAGGAACCTTGGAGGATGCTGCTTGGTGTGGTACACTGAAGACAATTAATTGAGACTGGGAACCTTGGAGGATGCTGCTTGGTGTGGTCTGAGGCTTGGAGAAGATCAGTATGTGTCCAGTGCTGATCCTTTGCCTGAACAGCCTCATTTGCTAGTACAAGGATGTTTAAACCTAGGGCTGACATTGATGGATAGATCTATATGTACTAGATAAATAAAATAAAGGCAAAAATTATCCAAGTCATTTGGAGAACTCTGAACATTCAGACTGGATTTAAAAAGGCTGAAATTTTCAAACAAGATAAATCTGCCTGTGATTTCATACTCAGTAATAGCATGTCCCAGTGTTAGAAGTGTCTACAATTTTCTGCCTTGGCATTCATAGGGATTTTTTCACCGTGTTCCTAAATCACTTAAGCACAGGCTGATGCTGGGAAAAAAGATCCATGCCTTAGCATAAATCACCAGCTTCATTAAAGCAAAGGGTACTTCCTTAATTCTCAACAGATGAAGTTTGGGCCACTGGGTTTTGTGTACAGCAGCAGGTCTGAAAGCTGCCTAATTACAGAGAGGAGCTGTTAGATGCTTATTTCTATGTAACTCACGAAGAATTTCCTGGTTTGATTTATTACCTGGATGATCTGATAAAACCTAACCACATACAGAGGACAGGGCTGTTCTGTGGCTTCAGGAAGATTGATTTTTACCTACTGCTGAAGCAAATCTATCCAGAGATGAGTGTCTGCTTCAGTTTTCATCCCTCCTGCTTCTTTCTTGTTTACCTCCTGTGTCTAGCTGGGTCTTTTCCCATCCTGTCACTGCTGCTTCCCTCAGGTGGGAGTTTATGCCACTGTTCTGTGCTTTAGCTTGACATTTATCTTTCATGTGTAAATTAGTTTTGGGGAATTGAGGATGTGTCTAAATCATATCTATCTTGGATTGTGTCATTTAAATACTTCATTCAGGCTTTTATGTGCTGCCTTCCCACCTGTGAGAAGCCCTGAGACCCAGTGCCCTGCAGCACCTGCCTTCATCCCACTGGCTTGATTTTTCTCCCTGAAGCATCTCCCTTCATCTCCTTTCTCCTTCCAACTTTTGTCTGGCAAGGCAGCACCTTCCTTAGGGCCAGAGCTCTGACTGTGCATCCAGTGTGGCTCATCCAGCTCTTCGTGCAGCAAAGATCACGATCCATATAACATCACTGGGACAGAAATAAAATCAATGTGCTGCTTTATCTTTCCTGGATCTGAGCTAGATTTAGGTCTGGTCTTGTGCCTCAGCACTCACCAAAGGCCTGCAAGCTGTTTTGCCATCCAGAGCACACAGTCCAGCAAATTCCTTCACTGCTTTAGGGAAATGTGGCTCTGAAAAGTCCCAGGGAAGAAATTCTGTCTTTATTCAGGAGCATTCTCTTATTCCAGGGCTCTGGAAACCACTGTGAGCTCTTTGTCCCCTGTGCTGGCTGATTGTCCATGCTGGGGGCATCTTGCTTGGCCATGCTAGACTTCTCCTGCCATATGACTTTGTATATAATGCTGTGGTCTCTGCTAAGCCTCCACCTCCCTACTGAGCTCCAGCAGCAGTTTGTGCTTAAGTAATCCCCTGAGCAGCTCAGCCCACAACGATGCTACGTTTGATAGATGGAGCCTCTCATCTGCA